TCTACACTGGAACAGGTATGACAAAGATTATTTTATGACCTTATGCAAGTCTAGAATTGGAAAATGGTGTCCATCTCCCGTCAGTTCTGATCCATTCATTGAGCGAATCTGGGAGAAGCATTTTGACTCTTGCAGTCAAGGGTGGGAGAAAGTGATGACTGATGACTGATGTTTGCTCTGGGCATAAGGCAAAAGAGAAGGGGCCCATGCTGTACATTAGCCAACCCCTGGCAAGTCAGATCAACCTCTGTGGGTTTTGGGTTCCTCTGCGTGCGGGGAAGAGTTTGGACTGGATGCTCTGTAGTGGCCCAGCTCTGCCCTTTCCCTTCTGTGACATGGGTCCTCTGATGGAGGGAAGTACTCTTCACACAGTTCGTGTTACAGCCGTCTCACAAATATCACTGCACTTGTGACTAGGGCCAGTTTGCAGACGAGCTCTACTTCGGCTTGCTAGGCAGGCAACAAAGTCACACAGCTCCTGGTGCCAGAAGAGGGCTTTTTTTTAAAAAAAAAAAAGATTTCTTTCTTTCTTTCTTTCTTTCTTTCTCTCTCTCTCTCTCTCTCTCTCTCTCTCTCTCTCTCTCTCTCTCTCTCTCTCTCTCTCTCTCTCTCTCTCTCTCTCTCTCTCTCTCTCTCTCTCTCTCTCTCTCTCTCTCTCTCTCTCTCTCTTTCTTTCTTTCTTTCTTTCTTTCTTTCCTTCTTTCCTAACTACCTGCCTTCCTTCTTTCCTTCTTTCTTTTAATTTGACCAGAGAGAGAGAAAGCAAACAGCCAGGTCCAGGACTTGAACTGTGTGAGAGTCCAGCCCCCTTAACCACCACACCACCTGCTGGGCCCCCACATGAGGGTTTTAACCGATGTCAATGATTTAGGAACTGATTCTCATCCTTCCCCCAATTCAATGTATAGATCATCGAAGATTTTCCATTTTTGAGTCTGTTTTATAGGTTATTCCGTTATTACCCTTTTACCAATATTCCACTTGTCTGTGGCTGCTCTCAGAGGTTGGAGAGCGAGTATTTCCTTTTACCAGTTTTCATCTTTATAAAAAAGTAGATAGCCCAAGAGGTTGAAATGAATGAATCTAGTTTTTAATTATGGTACTCATAACTTTAAAAAAGCAATATGTTCAATTTCTTTTCTTCTTTTTTTTTTTTTGGGAGGGGGTGTCAGAGGACATGTGTGCTTGCCAGAGAGAGAAACAGAGAGAGATACCCTCCAAATGTGGCATGGTCATGCTGCAATTTCCCTTCCTCCATTTTCCATCCTGTCAGGATTTTAGGCACTCACACACATCTGCCTGCTATGTTTTCCATGCTTCTGGGGCCAGGATTCAAACCATAGGTTGGCCACATGGCATTCAGCTCTTTGTTACCTGCACTGAACTTCTATGCTGCAGGACTGGCTCTGTACTCATCATTTTTAAGGATCTTTCACTTGTCTTCTCTTTTGAAAATGGAAATGTTGGGACCAGCAGGTGGCGTGGTGGTTAAGGTGTTGGACATTCCCACTATGGCTGACCACTGTTCAAGTCTCGAATGTGGCAGCTTGCTTTCTCACTTTCGCTCTCTCTCTCTCTGTGTGTCTCTCTCTGGTGAAATTAAAATAAATGAATGGCCAAATAAAATGAATAATTATTAAGAAAAAGGAAAATGGAAATGTTTAGTACTCTTTTAATAAGCTAAGTAAATAAGTATATTGTCCACTTTTGAAATGTGTCAGGTGTACTAAGCCAGCGCTTGCTTTTATTTCTTGGTTTTCATATGTCTGCAATCCCCTCCCTCCCACCCTAGGAGTCTTAAACATCCAAAGAGAATGTTCTAAAGTCTATTTAATACCAGAAGACCATTTTGCCCCAAGGGAGCTTCCAGAGCTCCTAGTAAAATTAGAGAGGTTTGTAGAAACATCTGTTTCGGGCCTAGACATGGAAATTTAATCACAGTTCTACCCTGTCTCAAAAAGTTCAAAATTAAATTGCTTTGCTTTTGTTTTAGTTTATTTTAAAAGTAAAACTGGGCTGGGAGTCAGGAAACCTGGATCCTACTCATGGTTCTCTGAATAGCTGTATGCTTTGGGCAAGTCTGGACCTTAGTTTCTTTGTCTATAAAATGGGAGTGGATGGGTAGAGAGTCCTCTAAATTCTTTTGAGTTCTAACTTTTTAAGAAATTCCCTATGTATATCATCAATTTCTTCTCAACATATATAGAACCTGATTTCAAAAAGGATTTGCTTTCCCTGAACTTCTGATTCCCACCCCTCCTCCCTGCTCCTAGGTGGTGGGAGCAGCTTCAGGGACCCCTGGGTCTGATAAACACAGCCTGAGTGCTGTCGAAGGGTCAGAGTTCTTTCCCCAGACGGTCATCGGGTATCTCAAGGAGCCTGGTCATGAGGATACAGAACCTCTGGGGCTGTGCTTAGTGTGGTGCCTTGAGCATCTTGAACTCCTTGCAGGCCCCGTGCTTGTCTCTGTGAGCCTGGGCTGCCTTAGCCTTCCTCAGAGGAACTGCTTTAGCAAAGACCCTGAGTTTTCCCAGGCGAAAATCACGTTTCACTGAGTTCCATAATCGTCGGGCTCTAACACGTCTCCTTCTCAACTGTTGGTGCAGAGATCGTGTGCAGTGGACATGGTGACCACAAACTTCCTCAGAGGGAAGAAAAGTCCTACATGTGATCACCAGCCTCTTGTTGATATGGTTTCGTCCTTGTCTTGGTAAAAGAGTTGTCCTGGTAGCTAAATCTGGGAAGATGGGAAAGAAAAAGATAGGAGAATGAGCCTAGGAGCAGGTAAAGACAGAAAGCCAAGCAGAAGGTCAGGTTGGTTGGAAGGAAATCAGCCTACCATTTGTTGTTACATGGTGGCCTTCAAATGTGGGTGCAGGCTGTACCCTAGGGATGAGCAAATTGGCTTATACGTCTGAGTTTATGAAAGAGAATATTGGAATTCACATTTCTTTAATAAATCATTACTTTACACTTATCTTTAATACAAACTATATACTAGCATTGTATAATCCTTTGGGCCCTGCTTTTCATTTTTGCCTGCTGGCCAAACCATCACCTAGATGTATTGTAGCAGCCTTCTGACAGGTCTTCCCCCTCTGACCTTGGCCCCTATACTCTATACTCTATTCTCAGTATAACTATCAGTGATGGAACTCAGATATATAGTGTCACTCTGCTCAAAACCCAGTAATCTTGGGGCCTGCATGGTAGTTAAGGCACTGGATTCTCATATGGCTGATCGTGGTCTGAGTCCAGGACATGGTGACTTGAAAATCACGCTGAGCATGTCATGTGTGTGCCCAGAATCCTGAGAGGAGACTGGAGAAGGGATTGTGGTGTGGCCATCCTCCCTGAAGGGTGATTTCTCACTTTCCCTCTCTCTGTCTCTCTTCAGTGAGCACACGTGCTCTATGGAAAAACCAAGACAAACAAAACAAAACAAAACACCCTTCTACTCTCACTCAGAGTAAAAGCTGAGATTAGAACAACCTGTGAGGCCCATAAACTCAGGCCCCTCCACTCGCCTGTCGGCCTTTTCTCCTCTTGCTCCCTCCCTGGCTCCTCACGGTAGTGAACACACCAAGTACGTGCCTGCCTCACACCTCTTGCTTTTCTTAATCCCTGAGAAACTCCTCTCCCGATATCTTCATGGCTTAGGTCTTTACTCAGATGTTAGTGAGTCCTTTTTGGAATACTTTGTTTATAATGCCTATCTGGGGCCAGCAGGTGGTATAATGGTTAAAGTACTGGACTCCCACACTGTCAACTGTGGTTCAAGTCCTGGACCTGGCAACTTGAAACTCACACCAGGGGCATGTGTGTGCATGCCCAAAATCCCAAGAGGAGAATGGAGGAAATGGGATTGCAGCATGGCCATCCCTCCTGGGGGAGGTGGTTTCTTACTCCCTCCCCCGTGGGAATGCACACACTCTATAGCAAAATACATTAAAACAAGGAAATGCTTATAAACAGAGCTCCCAACTGTACACTGGGATATCAGATTTCCATTCAAACAAAATTGAAAGAAAAATTTTGCTCTGTTGAATGATAAAAGAACACATCTTGTCTTCTTTTCTGCTTATATTTTCTCTTTTTTTACACTGGGCTTTTGTTGGTGGGGATTAATGTTAATTAACATTGTAGTTAATTCTGAACAGGTTCCATTTCTTTACAGGGAAGTAACAGGGCGACACTAGGAGAAGGGAAAGGTTGACCCTAAATAGTATGGGAAGGGACACTCCCTTGAGGCAAAGTGAGTCTCCCTTGGTTCTATTGATAGCAACCAAGAGTGTGTAAGGAGCTCCATCTGCATAGCAATGCCTGCCAGGGCTCTCTGCCCCCTCCTTTCCATGAAGGATAAGAACAAGAAAGAATGGGTTGAGTGAAATAGAAGCAGGACCTGAGAATTGGGAATCAGGAGGTTAGACATAATCATGCTGTGCAAGATTTAGTGGGTGAGCAGGAGGCGTGGAAGTGAAGAGGGCTGGATCCCACATGGCCAACAGCACGGTTCAAGTCCCTGATGGCTTGAAAATTGCACTGGGTGCCAAAGTCCTGAAAGGAGAATGGAGGAGATAAGATTGTGGTGTGGCCATATACCCTGGGGGGAAGGGGGGGATTTCTCGCTTGCTCTCTCTGTTTCTTCTGAGTGTCCATGCCCTAGAGCAAAAAGAAAAAAAGAAAAAAGAAGATTTAATCCTAACATTTCTATGAGAGAATGGCTATTATTATTTCATTTTATAGATGAGGAAAATGAGAATGGAGCGATGAAGTCATTTGCAGGGTCACATGCCTCTGGGAGTCACCTCTGGGCCCTTCTCATGGAGCTGCAGGTCTGGGTAGGGAGATGACACTGAATGCCCTGCACACGGGAGGCCCTCCTCGGGCATTTATCATGCGTATGTGGCCGGTGAAACAGCTGTCAGTCAGGCCCATGCAGGTTTAGCTGCATTGGTGCTCATTAGGATTAGACTGGATGGAGTTGTGAAGACTCAGTCAGCTTCCCTCCCATGGGGCTGTGGTGGGTTAGGGTACCGGACCCTATTCTCCCCAGCCAGGGCTGGAGGTCACGATCAGCTGTTGAAGAGCACCTTGAGACGGCCCAGAGCTGAGCAGTCTAGTTTTCTTACCGCAGACATGGGGGAAAACAAAAACCAAAAAACTTCAAAAAAACCTCCAAAACTTCAGGTCTGGCCTGATGGTGGAGGGGTTAAGCACAGTGCATAACAAGCAGGATCCCACATGATGGTCTGATTTGAATCCCAGCGTGGGTGGGCAGTGTGCAAGCATGGCCCCAGTCCCCAGGGCAGGGAGAAATGGAGGAAAAAGATGTGGAGTGACTATACCCTGTTGAGTGTGCTTTCTCTCCCTTTCTGGTGAGTGCACCCGCCCTCTGGCAATTTAAATTAGTTAAGCACAGTGCATAACAAGCAGGATCCCACATGATGGTCTGATTTGAATCCCAGCGTGGGTGGGCAGTGTGCAAGCATGGCCCCAGTCCCCAGGGCAGGGAGAAATGGAGGAAAAAGATGTGGAGTGACTATACCCTGTTGAGTGTGCTTTCTCTCCCTTTCTGGTGAGTGCACCTGCCCTCTGGCAATTTAAATTAAAAAAAAAATAAAGAAAAAGAGAAGATGTCAGGGAGGTGGGGCCAGCAGGTGGCCTGGTGATTAAGGCGCCAGACTCCCACTTGATCCACTGTGGTTTGAGTCCAGGACCTGGTGGCTTACTTTCTCACTTTCCCTCTCTCTCTCTCTCTGTCTCTATGATGAGTGCATGTGTCCTACAGCAAAAAAAAAAAAAAAAAAGTAATAGTAAAATAAATAATTAGAAAAAAAAGTCTTCAAGAGGCAACCCAGGTGAGTGACATGTCATGTACCTGTCATGTAACTTGGGGACTGAATTAAACTGAAGCACAGAGTTTATGTCAGGTAGAAAGAAAGAAAAAATGCGATATCCAAACTGGTAGGAAAAGCGTCTGTATATTAACGAATCTTTCTCACTTGAGTCCTTCCGATAGGTACTGCATGTCCTCTCCTGAAATGTGAATTAGTGAGTTTATGCCTGGGCAAAACTCATTGTTTCCATTTGCTGCACAGGCAAGGTCTTTTACAAAATAATTTGTACCTACCTTGTTCCCAAAAGTATTGGAACATAAGGTAAGGTGGGTGGTGCCTTCCGGGTCCTTCTGTCCCCGTGATACACCCCTTCTTACATAGAATGTTGCGTGAGTTACTTGTCACGGCAATGTGTTATAGACCTGTTGTACCCCACAGTATTCAGGACTTTGTTGAAAGAGAATAAGTGACTTTTGTGGTATAGGGCACTGGTGAAGTGATGTAGTAGATTTGAGATAGCCGGTTTTAACATTATATACTTTTTTTATAATTGAAATTTAAAAAAAAATTTTTTTTGGAGAGGTTTTTGCTATAGGCCGCGTGCGCTCGCCAGACAGACAGAGAGAGACATAGAGACAGAAAGCGAGAAATCACCCCCCAGGGGGGATGGTCACGCCGCAATCCCTTCTCCTCCATTCTCCTCTCGGGATCTTGGGCACGCACGCACACGCGCCCGGCGTGAGTTTTAAGCCACCAGGTCTGGGATGTGAACCGCGGTCAACTATGTGGGAGTCCAGCGACATAGCCAATACGCTAACTGCTGGTTCCCAACATTATACACTTTTTAAGAATTATTTTTAAGCATTATTTATTTACTTGTTCTTACTTTTACTTGTTTATTTATTTTTAAAATTACTGTAAGTCACATGAGCTCACCAGAGAGAGACGAAGAGTGAGAGGGAAAGTGAGAAAGCAAGCCACCAGGTCTGGGCCTCGAACTGTGGTTGGCCATTGTAGGAAACCAGCACCTTAGTTGTCATGCCACATGCTAGCCCCACCTTATGTACTTCTTCTTTTTTTATAGAGGAAGATTTTTGCTATAGAGGTGTGTGTGCTAGCTGGAGAGAGAGAGAGAAAGAAAATGAGAAATTATCCCCCCTCAGGGGCGATTGCCCTGTCACAATTCCTTCTCTTCCATTCTCCTCTCAGGATTTTGGGCACACATGCACACATGCCTAGCATGAGTTTTAAGCTGCCGGGTTTGGGATTCACCACAGTCAACTATGTGGGAGTCCAGTGACGTAACCATGATGCCATCTGCTGGTCCCCCTTATGCACTTTTTTAAAGTAAAAAATTATTGTTCAAAATCTGGACTATGGAAAACATACAGAAAAAATAAAACCACACACACAAAAACTCCCTTCTTTAAAAAAATTAATTGTGGGAGACCAGCAGTTGGCGTAATGGCTATGTCGCTGGACTTGCATGTAGTCAACCGTGGTTTGAGTACTGGACTTGGCTTAAACTCACGTTGGGCGTGTGTGCGTGTGTATCCAAGATCCTGAGAGGAGAATGGAGGAGAAGGGATTGTGGCGTGACCATCCCCCTGGGGGGGTGATTTCTCGCTTTCTGTCTCTCT